AATTGACAATAATGTCTCTTTGAAATAATTTGTTGTGAGTTGCACAGAAATTTTGTTCATAAACCTCAGCCCCTAGCCTGTTACAACTGATCTCTAACCCTTTACTTTGAAAAAAGGGGGAAAAAAACTGCTGTTTTTTTTGTTATAAAATAAATCAAGATTCCGGATTTTGGTTACCTGCAAATGAGGTTGAGAGTCAGGTGTGTAACAACAGCTGGAGTTACAGAGTCCACAACAAAGGCTTCTGGCCAGTTAGAAAACAGATCCAAAAATACCACGATGTAGTGTTTACTGTCTATACAATCATATGGACCCAACACATTCATCTCAACCTGAAGAAAAAATATCTTTGGTTAAAATGTGTTGCATAAAATAATAATAAAATTCATATGAAGTACTCAATTAAGGATCTTTTATAAACCAAGTGACTTATATGCCTTTTACTTGGTTGACCATCAAACTGAGTTTTAAATCATCTTTGATGATTTTTATATATTTCTTTTCTTTATTTTACATTAGTCATTACATTTACTGTGTTTGCAATGTTATCTAAGAGTTTCCTATGCAATACCTGTGATAAAACAACACAAAATTTAATGACGTGTCTGTGTAGCTTATTCTTTTTATCACACAGACTTGGTCAACTTACAATGTCCCAAAAATGAAGGGCTTCTTGTGATCGAGCAGGCCATTCACCCTTAATTGGCTTAGAGTCCTCAGAAAATGACACATTGGAATCTGAGTCATCCATATCCTCAAAATCTGACGTGGCAGATATACTTCCATCAGATGACATTGCCTGATCAGTCAGTTTGAAACGAGTGCGGCAAGAAGAACAATTCAGAAGATACTCCCTGACTTTATTATTCATCCCAACAAAGTAGTACTTCTCTGAAAGGGCAGCCAGTACTTTCTCCCTCCCCAAATGATTGCCTGAAAATAAATATGAAATATCATAGTCCTATAGTGTTTTGAAATGTTAGATTAGATCAAAATTCTGATAATTTTTTTTATAACTTTACAGGTCTCATTTTTTTTCTTTCAAAAACATGATTCATAACTTTTTTTTTTTTACATTCAATCTTAAATAAAAACACACAATACTTAGGCACATTCATTACAATAAAGCTTATGTGTCTAATTTGTGACCTAACACTCAGCTCCTCTGCCACCCCACCCAACCCCCTTTTCCCATCATCAGCATCCCCTTTTACTAATTGATTTCCCAACTTTTCATAAAATGGCTTATAAAATTTCTTTCAATAGTCTGACTGTAGACATCAAACAATTACTAAAATGGAAAAATAAACAATTAGGCTCAAACTTTTTAATATAAGTACAATATCAGAATATCTCAAATTATTCATTGTTATCATTCCACCCTTCATGATCCGCCATTGTTCAAGGAATGGCAACTCGTGGTACCTTTATCATCCACATGCAGTTCGCCAATAATTTTAGTCCTCTCAGCACTATCCGTGAGAACAAGTCTCTCCCTATGCACATCTTTTCCGAATTTATCTTTAATTGTAGAGACATGGAACAGCTCGCTGCCTTTAAGTTTGAACAATTTTGATCTTTTTCGAAGGTTCCTCTTTGCATTTTCATTTGCGCCATCAGGGTACCTTCCAAGAGTCATGTACATAAAAATGTCGTGCGTCGTGTCGGTCCGAGGACCAGTCTGCGATCTTCTTCTCATTGTTGACATTTTTAAAGTTGCAACAATAATATATCTTTCTTGCACACCATTCAAAAGATATTTTTTTAATTATCCAAATTCTTCTTCCAGCGCCATTTTGAGACGCGCATTATCAAAATGCCCGGATCAACTTAGATCCGCCTAGTCATTTCCGGAAATGAACATTCTCAGTAAATGGCGCGAAAACTCAAACATTCTCTTTGACTATAAGTTAAACTGTTTTGAATGGTTAAAGTACTGCGGGCTTTCATATTCTACTGTACTAATGTATTTGTTTTGACAGGACTTTTCCTTGACCTGGTCCTTGACCATGTCTACCATGTCGACCGTTTGTCCTCGACATTAGTTGAACAGCTGTTCAGCCTGTTGAATGTAAGGATCCACAAGCAAGAACAAGACTGTACCCAAAACTCGTTCAGGGTACATATGAGTCCGATGGTACCAACGGTACAAATCGTTACCATTGGCAAACAAGTGATGGTACCACTGGATCGAGATACTCTGAAGGCACCCAGGGGCGTAGCTAGGGTACTTTTGATGTGGACGCCTGAAAAGGAAGCTGGTGAATTTTCGATGTGACCCTTCTAATAGCATTTTTCTTACACTTTTCAGTTTGTTACGCAGCCTCATTTGATGTTTATTTTTCCTTGTACAAAATGCGGACAGTCACTCAAAAATGAGAAAGGATATGTCCAATAGCGTTGTTTGACAAACCCACTAAAACAATTTTAGCCTTTTGAAGCTCGACAAAATTACATACGCTAGTTTGATTAGAGTGGTTGACTGGTTTAGACAGACCACGTAATTGACTGATAAAAATACACCTATAAAGATTGAAAATAACAAAGACAGAAGAATTCTTTTCACTCATTTTCTTGCACAATACCTATGTACAATATATACATTTTATAATGAATGTTCATAAATATTCACAAATCTGGTATCTTTAACTTTTTCCAACAATTATATTGGTTTTAAGGTAGTGTTACGGATGTCAATACTTAAACAGGCTTTATCATTATGTTTTTTAAAGGTTAAACTGAATTTTACCAATTTTTTGATTCTTGATAATCATATATAAAAGCTGAATTGTGATTTTTGAAGTCTTGCATGTATCCGATATTATTGTTATTTTTTTTGGGGGGGTGGGATATCGTTACAGAAGTTAAGCATTACAGTTGGAAGTAATATTTCCAGTAATAGAAATTGACATTTTTGGCATTAAATAAAATTATCGTTTGTTTTAAGGGAGTCGACTGGGATTTTATTGTATTAAATCTACAATTGAGAAACTCTTTCAGAATGTAACTACACCTAGAAAAAAAAAAACAACTCAGCACTATTCGATAGTAAACCAAAATCCTGGAATATCTTTTGATTTCCGTGAGGTGTATATTATCGTATTTTCCCCTGAAACTGATTCTGTTGATTTTCATTTATTTTTTTATCGCGTTAATTCTAAATTGTTTCTAATTTTTAAAAAAATTACTTACTAATACTTTGCAAAAATGACAGAGTACGCTTTACAATTTTACACACGTCTCGCTCTCCTCTCTCTTCCTCTTTTTTTTTTTTTGAAAATGATGTGGACGTTTGTGCGTACAAACGTACGCCTGGCTACGCGCCTGGCACCCTATATTTTACACAGAGGTACCTCACAGGCACCTGACGTTACTAATTTTTTTTCTAATAAAAAAAAAATACCCTTACCTTATATTAAATATAAGGTAATGGTATATTTTTTTATTAAAAGAAAAATAAGTAACGTCAGTGCCTGTGAGGTACATGTACATTCCTTGTGATTAGTCCTTTATTTGGGTACCAAGGCAACAGTTATAACCATTTGATTCTGACTTTGAAGTTCATTTGACCTACTTGTTGACTTGCTCTCCTATTTCAAAGTCGGACTACGGTATATTCCTTGGGACAAGAATTTCTTGGGAAATCAACATAATTGACCACTTGACCTTGGATTTTGATTCTCTTTTACAAAATTTTACCAACTTTTAACCTTGACTATCGTTCTTCACTTCCCTAGGTTGACAGAATTTTGATTTGAACAAGTATCTGTTCTGTAACTTAATGACTTAAAAACGATTTTTTTTTCATTTAAAAAGGAAAAATAATGCGGTCAGTGGAAACAGCATGATAAAGGAAATAGATTTGATTGCTTGAAAAGCAAATTTTTCTGCCAGCGCCAGAGAGAGCCTGGAGAGAGAGAGAGAGACTCAGAGAGAGAGAGACTCAGAGAGAGGCTTTTTCGAGAGTGCTGAATGTACAATTTCATAGTTAAGGACATTTTAAGCTTAATTTTAACATGTTCATTAATATTATGTCATGGCTATTTTTGGATGTTTTATGGAAGGGTTGCCTGTGAGGATTGATCCTTGTGATTAGTCCTTTATTTGGGTACCAAGGCAACAGTTATAACCATTTGATTCTGATTTCACTTCCTTAAAGAGTTTTTTTTCTTTTTTAATTTTGAATATATTTGAAATTTAATCTTTGTGTACATATACATTGCATATTTATATGTATGAACTCTTCACACAGTGTTATAGGCCTATATAGATTTTTTGAAGTGTATACTGAATTTTGGAATCAAAGTTTGAAATGAAATTAAAGAAAAGTAATGTTTAACTCGCTTTACTTTAACAACATACATACTTTTCTTAGTTTTGTGTAGGCAAAATTTATGTATAAACGTATAGGTGTCATAACAGTATTACACTTTGGTTCACGTCAGAGAGAGGCTAGAGAGAGAGAGAGAGAGATCAGAGAGAGAGAGATTTTCCCTTCCAGAGAGAGGCATTTTGATACGAGACTGGAGCTGAATTTTTTTAGGACATTTTAAAAAACAACATGTAAATATCCTGTATTGACCAGATTTTTAAAATTTAGGAAGGGTGCCGGGGATTTTTCTATATACTGTATAGAGTGGGGAGTGATTAGGCATTTCCTTCCTTAAAGATTTTTTTTTTTTTGCTAAATTTTGAATATATTTGAAACAAACTTGTGTGCCTTGCTGGATGGCTATGTATTTTTTGGTACTAAAATCTTTAAAAAGAATGGTTTTACAAAGTTTGAAAAGGAAACTTAAAGAGAAGTTTGTTTTGAATTTATTACACTACATCAAACTTGCGCATTTTTGTGTAAGAATATATAGCAGAAATTAATACTGTTGTGCAACCTATATACGAGTTCTTCCTCTTGCAAAAACAGACCCCCCTTTTTTTTCAAAGTTCGAAACTATGCCTGTATTTTTAATGCTAAAATTACTGTAGGCCAATGCTACGCATGCGCACTGTTTGTTTTGTGACCGATATCCACCAAAATGGCGCACATGTGAAGAGTTTGGGAAGGGGTGACAACGATTATTGCTAATAGTGTCAAGATTATATCGGTCAGAGGTTTGATACAGAGCAAACTTTACCATAAAATACCGCTGACTGGTAATTCATAGACGATTTTTAATTAGCAGATGTTATGGCCAAGATTTTGTAGACCGTAAAGCTGTAGACAAAGCTGAAAGAATAAAATTTCAGGTAATAAGTGTTTTATTAGACCAAAACATTGTTTGGCTAATTAATCAGCATAAGATTATATTATTCTCAGTAATAAAGAATAATAGAATTCTAATCGATTTGAAGCTAATCTGAATCAGGTTAGAAAAACTTTTCCCTAAATCAGATGTAATTGCATATTATTACTGAATCACTTCCACATCTTAATTACATGTATGTTGAAAGTTGAGTTTGCTGCATTGAAGGTTGACATATATTTATTTCATAGTGTATTATTATTATTTTGCTCACTTTTTATGATTCTCAGTAGAGGATTGCCTTTAAACACCAGTTGTATTTGTTTATTTTCTCTGCAATTTCTCAAGAAGGTCATTGTTTAATTTCTTTTATAAAATATTTTGTTTAAAACTATCTCATTCTTTTTAAAAATATTTTATATTAAAAATGAAACATGATTTTCATGGATGAATATTTTCTTACAGAAAGTTTTGGATTTTTATATGATATATGCACTGTTAACCATGTGTATTGATTACTTCTGTTTTAGATCACATTTATAGTAAACTGTTCTGAATTTTTTAAATTTTGTTCATCTTAAAAATGTGTTATTGAAATTAAGTTCATTAAATAAAATTATTTCAGTATACATTTAATAGCTTCAGCTCTGTTGACATCCACATTTATGAAAGTTACTCCCCTTTGCAAATGTCACAAATTCAAAATCTTCTTTCTTATTCTCCCCCTGCCTCTTACAGATCATAGCTTAGACCATCAATAACAATTTTAATGTTTTTTTTATGTAATCTGATCTTTTTTTGAGTAAGTAATTACATAATTTTTCTTCATTTATCTATCACATTGAAATGATCGAGTAGGGGTGATAGGAGTAGATAAAGCAAATCATTTTATTTATTGCAGGCATTATAATACAGTGCATATGTACAGGGAATGTGCAAAGTTTATCATTACAAATATATTCTAATTTAAAATGTTCCATTGACATTATCAATTGCTAACTGGTATTTTTGTTGCAATCTATTTTGCAATTTAAATTTTAAAAACATGTAAGGCATTAAAGTGTTTATTTATTTAACATACTAAAAGCCCAGTTACTTCTGTTTCAGAATGGCAAGTAAGACGTACAAAACTTACAGTAAATTTACTGGTAAAGATTCTGCTGCCAGTCGAGCATTTGATGATGTCTTGAACAACAAATCTGCCGCACCAGTGCCCATTAAAGCAGAAAAAACCAAATGGGGAGACACATCATTCACACGAGTCAGAAAGGATGACCCTTTTCAGGTGACATTTAACAAAGTGAAAGTAGAAAACGAGACTGTAGATGAATTTTCCTTTGACCTAGAAGAAGATGAGAGTTTCAAGAAGAAAATTCCAGCAAGTAACAGCAGTGCTTCAAGTGCTTCTTCTGGATTAGGCAGACCTGCTATTTCTAATGTAAACAAGACATCAAAGAAACAAGTACCAGCTGAGGTTCCAACCCATTCTCCAAAAGTGGAAAAAGAAGAAAGTGAGTCTATAAATGATGATGATGATGATATGGAACCAGTTATGTTTAAAAGACCAGTTAGAACATATTCACGTTCACTCAAAAAGGAGAAAGTTGCAGAGGAAACACCGGAGCAGATACAAGAAGAGGAGGAGACTGAGGGCATCACAAAAGAGGAAACAGATGATCCTTCTATTCCATTCTCAGAAAGGACCGACGTTTTCTCGGATAAAAATGATGAAGAAGGAAATTCATTATATGGCAGAGCTAGAAGACAGAAAATTACTTCAAGAACTCATATTCTGCAGTCAGATGACGATGAGAGCTGTGGAGCAACTGTGCTGAATTTCCGCAGCCGATACATGGATCCTGCTGTGTATGGCAACTTTGAGTACACACCACAAGGGGAGGACCCAGTGGGGCGAATGAATAACAGCAAAGTTCTTCAGCAGAGTGAAATCAAACATGGAAAAGGGTCCACATTGATTGTGATTTGCTCTCCAAAACCACCTGCTCAAGGAACAACAAAACTCCATCCAGTAAGAACCTACAAAGTTCGAGATCCAAATGCAAAAGATTCAGATGAAGGGGGAGAAAAACCACAGAAAGAGGAATATCAAGCCATCCCACCAAAACCAATTATCATTAGAAACAGGCGGCGTCCCCAGAAGAGGAAAGCAGAAGACACGCCTAAACCAGCTGTTCCTCCAATAGAGACCCTTATCAATATAAAGCAAGAACCAAAGTACACCCCAGCACCTCCAAAAGATTCAAACAAAACAAAAGATACAAAACCCAGAAAAAATAAGATCTTCAAGTCCAGAAACAAGGTGGAGGATGAAGAGGAAGAAAAAGAGGCCCCTGCTCCTCCAGAGGAGGACACAGCTGTCAGTGAGGAGGCCCCAGTCCTTGAACCACAGGTGGAGGATTCAGCTGTACCTCAAGAGGAATCGATCAGCGCCGAGGATAGAGACACTGCTTTTGGATTTGAGGAAATGGAGGTTGATAAAACTCCTGAGAACTCACAAGAAGACAATCCGGTGAGTGAAACATATAGGGAAATCCCAATAAAACTGAAAAGAGTGGAAGAACTGCAGAGGGAGGATAATGGGGATAGTCAGTCCTCAGAGGGGGAGATGGAAAGTTCCCAGGAGATACCGTCTTCTCAAGAATCCACAGAAGAGTTCAAACAACCCAGTAGAGAACGCAAGATATTTAAATCTAAGAATACAAGGACAGCACAGAAGAAGGTGTCTCCAAGTCCAAAGAAGGTATTTGAAAAAAAAATTCTACATTAATGTGCACAAAATATAACATGTATGAATTGCTTTTTAAAATAAATATTATCTTCTGTTTTCTTTAACAGTCACCAGCAAAAGCAACATATAATGTGAGGTCCTGGCAAGAAGACTTTGATGAAGAGGAACGGGTAACCTTGATGATGCAAAGAAATGTGCATATTGCTTTTGTTTGCTTTGCTTTAATACCACATTCATTGTGTGTTTCAGGGTTTGACACTAATAGTATACCTGTCAAGGTAGTGACTAACTTTTTTTTTCACAGTGGACCAAATGTTAAAATCTGTAATGGAATTTAAGTAATCCTAGTAAGTCTTTAAAAAATGACATTTTTTTCACATTTACAGTTTCATAGAACAGTTTGAGACCAAATTTTTTGAGTTGTGTTACGGAGGAGGTATTTATAGGGATTCAATTTATTTTCTTTATTCCATTCAGTTATGAAGTGGAAAGAAAAAAAGCAGACTACAAAAACAATGCTAAATTTTGCCTTTCTTCATGTAATTCATACCTTCTCTTCAAAATAGAAGAATAAATGAAACAGAAAGTTAATATACATTTGTCTTCAGTCTTCACGAAAACTTTTCAAACTAACTGGCCAGTCGGACCAGTGAACTTTCAAAATTTACTAGCCCACCAAAATTGTTACTGCCCCTTTACTTAAAAAATAAAATAAATACATTTTCATAACTGTAAATTTATACATGTTTACATACTTCAACTTTTGAAAAAAATGTTCCGCCATTTATCGCCCTTTGTCGCGTTTCGGTAAGTTGTTCGTTGGAACTTTGCACATTTTACGTACTAGTTAATAATTACTAGCTAGTTCTGGTTGTTACGTCCATGTTAATTAATAGATAATACGATTCAACATCACGTGCTTGTTCTTTTTATTTTATATATTAATGAAATTACGCAAATAAGTTAGTTGAAATAAATTTTGACTGTATATGATTTTTATAATCAACAAGCCCATCAGGGGTGTGAATGACCTTGAATTTTCATTTTTCAGGTCACTGGAAGAAAAATTCACTGGCCTCGGTCTACATCAGTTTTTTATGGAAGACTGTATCTTATTGTCTGATACCTGTAGAAATGCCTGTTAGAGGTATATAATCTGGTAATGAAAAAAAAAAATGAGTATTGAAAATTGGACTCTGGACAAACATAATTTTTATGATAAGCATCCCCCTCCTCATTCTTGAATTAGTTTTTCCTTAAATTCAAATTTAGAATTGTGATAGGCATACATATAAATATTTTCTTTCATCTCCTTCCCATTCAGACACCTAAAGTAGTGTGATATTTGTGACTAAATGTGCACACTTTGGCCAATTTATGGAGAAAAAATGGACTGTTCCTTTCTTCATTTTGATTTGCATTGATTCAGGAGACACTATCAATATATTCAGGTTAAACTGATGGATTCAGTATTGTGTTATAATAAGGTCATTCAAACAAATTTGTTATTTTTAAAATAAATCTTTTCAAACCCCCTTCCAAACAATAAAGTAGGGGAAAGATATGATCTGATTACAATTTTCTTATGTAATAGATCTTTTTAAAAAAAATCTGAAATCACGTCACAGGTCAATATTTAGTGTCAAACTCTGTACATTTCCATCATGTTAAATGACAATACAGTGTATTTAAATTAGTAAAACAGAAGTAAATGTTTTCTCATAAAATAAAAAAAAATTACAGTGCACTTATTGGGTTTAAAGATTCTTCTATGGAAAACACAATGAATGTGTAGTAGTACATGTAGTGAATGTAACATTTTATTTATTTTTCAAAGAAAATTTTGATAAATTTGAAATAATTTTTTGAAAACCATATGTAGTTTCAGAACTAGATATATCTTTTATTAGAGGAAATATAATCAGTGTGTAACTGCTTAGCCTAAAAGAAAATTATCACAAGTAGAACCAATGCTTTTGAAACAGTGGACTGAAATTGGAATTTCAGATGAATGTATGTCTATTGCACCATGTTGATCAATTTGATCAATACATATAACATCTTGGCTACAGTACATATATATTCAAAGTATTTATTTGTATTAAATTAATATTATCATAACTCATGTTACTTTACTAATTTAAACATGTAGGGTGTAGATTTCTTTTTGTAGATTTTAGTTGCATACTCTGCATTTTGATATCTTAATTTGAAAATATGAGTGTGTACCTTTTCTGTAGCATGCAACAGCCATTTTTCATATAGATATTTTGCTTTTTATCCATTTGTATGTAGAATTTTAATTATTAACTACTGGTTAATATCTTGATGTTCAGGCCTTTAAAAATATATTTCTCACTGATCAGTCCAGCCTTTGCCCTTTATTACGAACTGGTCATGCTTTAAATTTCATAGATCAGGCCAGACAGCTTTCTTTCTTTAAGTCCTGATGCTAAGGTTTAAAAAAAGTCTTAAATCATACATTCATAAATGTCAGTATAAATTGCATGCATGTAAACATTTACTATGATATGTATAAAGATATTACCTATCGTTAGTTATCATTTCTTGATGCAAGTGTCTTGTATAAAAAAAAAGGGGGGGAATTAAGATCTCAAATTCGAGTTTTGAATCTGAATGTCGAGTTGCATCTGTTTTGAGACTTTAAACTAGTCTATCATCATCTATGATCTCATCAAGTAAAAAAAGTTACTCTTAGTGCCATTTTAAATCAGTTTTGTCCATTGCCTTGAAGTTTTTATTTCATTTGCTGTTTTAGAACAAGCAGAATCAAGAGGAAGATAATGGAACACAAGGTGGTCCACCTAAATTGACCCGTTACTCCACGTGGCCCCAGTCTGGGCCAGAGGTCAAGAAACCCAATGAGGAGCCCCCTAAGTTGACCCGAGCTGTTCACTGGCCAGACAGGGAGGGAGACGAGGCTTATACCTCGGTCCACATCAACAAAGAACACAAACAGGTAGAAATGTTTTCAGATACTTTACTAACAATTAAGTTCAGATGTCATATGAAGAAGTAAAAATTATATGAAAGGGGAAAGAAATAGAACATGATAAGAATCATCATAAAACAATGTTGGATGTATTGAACACCCTTAAGGTCATATACATTTAAATTAGTTCTCATTGATATTCCTGTGAATAAGGCTTTGAAGTGCGTAAATTTTGTGGAACTTTAATTGCTTTAGCTGTACACTGTTGTGAGGAATGTGAAGGAGGCCCACGAGTGTCAGGAACACGGAGAGACCCAGGAGTTTGCTGATGATGTGGAGTATCTGTTGTCTGGGATACAGGAGGGAGAACCCATGTCCACCAGGTGTCTCAGGTATGACGCAAAATCAAATGGGGTTATGTATAACTACAGCAAAACTCGGTTATAACGAAGTCGCTGGGACCTATGAAATTACTTCGCTTTATCCATAATTCGTTATAACCGCATAAGAAATTCATTAAATTTATATAGCTGGGGATCCAAGATGACTTCGCTATATCCGTGAATTCGCAATATCCGTGTTCGTACTAAACGAGTTTTACTGTATTATATTCATTGAGAGATATTATCAAGTCCTGTAACTTTGTATACCAAAGAATATTATTTGGATGCTGTTTTGTAAAAATATTTTGTATTCTAGGTAATGTTTTTATGTGTTTTATTTTTTATCATTATCTGTGCTTGTATAAAATGATAAAATTTGTTTTCCAGTTGTATTGGTCTTGCCCAGAAGAGTATTTTACCAGCATTTAGAATGCACCTACGAGCCCATGGAACTGTGGCTAAGATATTTGGTCATCTGAAGGATGCTGTGTCTGATCCAGTAAGCAGGAGTTTGGAATTTATTGTGAAGTTTCTTTACTTCTGTTTAGTCATGTGCTCTAGATTCATCCTGGCTATTTTTCTGCCTAATGACTTGCTATATGAATGTCTTTGAAATAAGGATGTGCTAACATTTAAGATATGCAAATGACAGTGCAATCTTATAATATGTAGTGTTACAACATATCCATGTTGACCAGTTATGGTAAAAAGAGGTTTGTTGTGATTAAGTAACATAACATTGTAAAGATCAGATCTCAAACATCATCTAAGTTTAAATATTGGATGACATTCTTGTGAAAAAAAATTTTTTTTACAAAGTTTTAAAAAAAGATTTATTTGCAACAGATGATTCATTTTGTAGATGGAGCATAATATTGTGCAAATAATCACTAATAAAAAATGTCTTTTTTCAGAGTTTATCTCTGTGCACTGCCCTGCTGATGTTTATGATGAGTCGCGATCGGCTGAACATGGACCTGGATCGTCAGAGTCTGGACCTGATGTTGAAGCTGCTGGCGGTGGACAATCAGGAGGAACAGAGCGTTACTCTGATGGGGAAGCGGACGCTGAACCGCAACAAAGATCGTGCCCGCGAGGTGTATGTCCAGTGGAAGGCTGAGGGTGGGGCCACCAATCTGCCAGAGTTAGAGGATGTCTCAGTAAGAAAATTTTGTGTACTGCTTAAAGTAAAAGATAGGTCTGTGAGAAATCAAGAACCTCATAATGCATTGAATCCTGATATGAGATTCATCTGTGACATACTATATACAGGGTTATTTTTGCCCCATGTTATTTTCGCCCTTTTGCACCCGTGACCAACTTTGCCCTGTTTTAAATTTGCCCTTCCATAGTTCTGTTTAAGAAATTATTCATATAGGGGCAAAAATTTCCCTGCATACAGTATATTTCTATAGTAAGAAGTTGGTCACAATGCAGGAATTTAAGACATGAATTTTGATGAGAAAATTTTGTACATTTTTCAGACAGGAAATCTTGCCATGGAATCTCTACTGAGTTTGACTTCACGTCGAGCAGGAGAATGGTTCAAGGAGGAATTACGGAGTCTGGGGGCTCTAGACCACATCGTAGATACTGGTTGGTTTCCTTCTTTTAATCAACACTGTTTGTTATTAGTCTTTACATGGTGCTAAAATGATGCGAAAATAATTTGAATTAAAGAACACTATTAGTTATCCAGGTTCAATCAAGGGTGTATGGGGATTTACCCCGTGTTTTATTCCATACACCCTGAGGCGGAAGACTTTTTTAAAGTTATAAATGTAATTAATGTAATATAAATCTTTTTCTTCAAGTTAGGTATGTCCAAAGTCAAGGAAAAAGTAGGTATGGAGAGTAAATATTACATTTTTAGCTTCATGTTCAAAATGTAATGGAATGTTTTGTTTTATTTCAGTGTGTTCATGTATTGAAGCATTAGGAGATGACACCACTTTGGTTACAGACAGTATGCTGGAAAACATGAAGAAAATAGACAGATGTCTACGGGTGCTGGAAAATGTAAGATATTGGAGGAAATATTGATCGGAGAAATGTTGATCAAAAGATCAACATCTCCAGATTAAAGTAAAAATCCAAGCTTTCACAGTATGTTTAGCAGATTTTATCATTTTTAGCAACATTTACGTATAAATGTTTTTAACACTAGATACACTTTAAAATGATAAGAAAAGAGTATAATATTTCTCGAGATGCTTTGCAAAGAAATAATCTCCTCCTTAAAATATGCAATGAAAGTGGATCACGAAATAGATTTTTATACGCCCGTCTTAAGACGGGACGTATTATGTTATAGGCTTCGTGTCCGTCCGTCTGTCCGTCTGTTAGCTTTTCTCGTGTCCGGCTCACAACTTTAATACTATAAGGCATAGAGTTATCAAACTTTAAAGATGTGTCGCACACAAAAAGTAGGTCGCTCTGACCTTTAATAAAGATGCTATAGCCAAATATGGAAAAATCCTGTCCGGCTCATAACTTGAAAACTATGAGCTTTCAAACTTGGCAAAAGTATACATCTGAAGTAGAATATTTCAAGGTCACTGTGACCTTTAATTTAAGTGAATTTTTTTTAAAAAACTAAGTCTTTTAAATTTTAAATTTCATAATCCTAAAAAATGTAAAAATATAGTTGTATCCTTATTAAAAAATGTTAAATTAAGTAAAAACTTATTTTTTCATTATATACTTTACAGCAATCTGTAACAAATATTTATGCTTTGAGAGGAATTCAGTTTGTCCCATGGGCATAATTATCAAGCACTGGTCAAGAAGAATTCTGATAGCAGAAACTTGCATGTCAAAATAGAGAGAACTTAATGAGTTTATTGTCAGGAGCTAAGAGCATCTCTAGATCTGATGCAGCTGTTATCTTAATTTATCTCTTGGGAGTTGGGCAAAAAGAAATGGCCTCATATGCAGTTCTTGATGGCTAGTCCAGATAAAGATCTTTCAATTGGTGTAATGTAAGTAAAACAAATTTATGTTTTAGTGTATGATTAAAACTAAATTAGTATTGTATAATATAATTAAAACTAAATATACATGGGTTCATTGAAAAAAAAATTATATTTCAATTTTTATATATTTGCAACAAATTGCAGTTATGTCTCACTTAGAATTTTATAGTCTGAAGAATTATTATAATTTATGTTTGAATTTTTTTATTAAACTGTAGCATTTCCATTACTTCATAAAATATGCAGTAAACAATTTAAGTAAGCTGCAGATGGATATTTGTTATGCTCTAACACAACCAGTTTAGAATTATATGATGTATTTGTTATAATCAATCCCTACACTGTAAGTCTCTTAGAGATGTATGATAAGAAATGGAAATTAGATCATTGAAATCTGTGTCAATCTGTTAATCAAGGCTACCTGATTTTCTTGCATCCTAACCAATTTATGATTATTGAACAATATTTGACGGGCGTATCATGCTGTGGCAGGGCACTTTATTGGAGAGTTATTTTCAAATAGTTGTACATGTAATGCCATGACAAATTGTTGATGGGAGAAGACTAAGATATAGATTAAAAATTTTTTTTACTAAATATTGAAAAATTGATTTTGATTTTTAAAAAAGAAAGAGAGAGAGAAATTTTGATTAGCATTAAATTGGTTTATTTGGGTATCAGTTAGTTCGAGACCGAGAATGGTGGCACTTTGAGGTTTGTAGTTTCCTAAATTTTGTTAAGTTTATATTTGTTTCTTAAACTTTGTTAGGTTTGTTAGTTTTCTTCATGTTCACCTAGCTTACCAAGGCTATAGGCTTTACAAAGCTTTTCTGATCAAATTATATGCTGTCTGTATATACCTACTGGTACTAGTCTCATAAAAGTTTTTCAAACTTCCAATTACTTGTGGTGCCCAGCATCATTCCAGAAATACAAAATATTACAAAAGTATTCAGTCCAAAAATGAAATTAATATTTTGTATGTAAAACTTCAAATGAAAAAAATTAATTTTTAATTACTTACATTTTTTGTGTGTGTTCAATTCTGGTTTTGAAAAAAGTTTTCTGCAATTAGGATTGACATTTAGTTCTTGCATTTTAAGATTGTCAGTTTAGAATTCTCGTAAATGTTTGAGGTTCATGTAAAAAATATCTTGATGAACTACCAATTTTTCTTAAAGCTGAAACTTTTCAAATCAAGCAATAAATTCAACCTTTTGTCTTACATTAATCAAAACAAAATCTGCACCTTTGAAAGACTTAAGGCCCAATCTAAATACTTGGTATGCATGTTTTGAATACATGCCTCTTCTGAATATAAATTACTTTCACACAACAAAAAAACTTCTTGAAATTTTCACAGTGTTTTATCAATGTTTTATATCTTTGCAGGTGTCCTTTGTAAACACTGATAATCAACTCTATCTCATTTCATACAAGGCAGGCATTCTTGTGACTTCTTTATGCAGGTATGATGATTTATTAATTCTTGTGACATTTTCAAGAGAAAAAAATGTTCTATGTTGAAAATTTCTAAATATCCTTCTAGCATTTCAGTTCCTGGTTGCCACTAAAAATAGATAAAATTTATTTCTCAGACAGATTTCACATCCTTGTTTATGCAATATCGTGAATTCAGTTATTTTCATGGGGGCTTAATTTTCGATGTTTTCAAGGTTAAAGAGACCCACGAATGTATGACCACCTTGAAATGTAAAATTAAATACCCATTACTACTCAACACTTCTCAAACCACGAAATCAAATCCCCACATATCATTGATTTTTTCTCAAACCTTGAAAATTTGCCCCCATGAAAATATGTGATTTTACAGTATGATTTTTACAACTTTGAAAAGAAAAGATTCTATTACAAGGGAAAGCAATATTTTAAACACAAATTATGTTCATTAAACCTCGATGCAAAGACAGATGATCATTTTTTTGTTAATGCTTATTTTCTCAAATGTTATTTGTGAATGCTAACAAAAGTTATGAACATTTGCACTCGGTTTATTACTGTAGATCACTAAATTTTTCGCAAGACCTTATTTTTGCAAGATAGTCATTGACTCTTGATAAGCGAGACAAAATTTTCACGAATTGTGATTACTGCTCTATTTAATCTCCATGAATACTATTACACGTGAGAATTAAATTTTCATGAGCACACTCTCTCGCATAATTGTGCGAAAATAGAGTTCTCTTGAATAAAAAAAAAGTGATTTATGGTAAGTCTTTGTTTGCTTCACTAACAGAATTTCAAGAATGTGTAAAACAAAAAACAAAATATTTTCAAGTGAGTAAATTTTTGTTTCATTTCAGAGCTCTGAGTCTGTGTGAGAAGTGTTTTCCTGTTTACCCGATCAATAGTTCTGAGAACATAGACAAGGGATCCACGGGATACGTCATCCTAAGTCTGGTGTTGGCCGTCTTACGAGTCCTCATCAACATCACACACGATAATGGTGAGAATCTTATTATCAACAGAGTTGACTTATTGTTGAATCATTAAAATTTGTGGGGGCCAATTTTCATGGATTTGCTTAAATTTCACAGGATCTTGAGGAGGTAACTCTGTGTATTCTCATCACTACAATTGTTTATTTATTTATGGAGGATGTTAATTCATGGATGTGGAATAACCATAAATTCCATGAAAATTGAGTCACCACAAAATCTAATGATTCCAAAGTAATTGATTTATTAATAGTATCAGAAAAGAAGTGTGGATGTCATATTCTTTCCATATTCAGAGTTTGGATGTACAAAAGTGGGAGACCAGGAAGGCTTCATCAAGACAGCCCTGATCTGTGTGCTGGACACTCCCCGATATGTACCTGTGGATATGAGATTTGACATGCTTGTTCTGGTAAGATGAGAGTTGACATGCTTGTTCTGGTAAGGTTGTTTTACACTCTGAAGATGACAAAATTCTTTCAAAGACAAATTTAAAAAAAATATTTGTATATGAAGTTGGGAAGCTTTAATATATGTTCATTTTCTGAATCTTGTCTCTATTTCAGAGTTTGGGTTTACTGATAAACATGGTGGAACATTGTGGGGTCAACAAAAGAAAGCTAGTGGAGTCAGAGACCTGTAGGTCATATGAGGTGGCTCCAGAAAATACACAAGTGCAAGTCCCAGCTACCAAGGCACTTTGTGAGGTGAGTATGTCATTAGAATGATAATTGGCTTTCTTTTATTGAGCAATTTATTTACTAGTAGACATAAAATAGAAACAATAAAATGTCTTTCTTTTTTATTAGTACAGGAATGATCTGTTACTGTTAATGAAGAAATAAAACAACTTATAACCTGCTAAATAATGTCAAAGAATTTAACTCTACATTTAATTAATGTTTAAATGTTTATTGTGTAGTCCTTGTCACTAAGATTAAACATTTAATGATGCATACATCCTCTTTGCAGACATGCTCTTAGGGCTTTTCCAGTTTTATTCAGTTGAAAAAGAAAATCCAAAAATGTTTTTCCACAGGTTTTCTCTACAAGATTTGAAATTGCTAAAACCATGGAAGAACAAGATTTTGGTGAGCCCACAACCCCAAAAGCTTCACCGAACAAAAGTGGGGAGTGGAAGGAATCGGACTCAGGGATTGAGTGGGTGGTAGCTTCTGCAAAGAAGGACAAGGAGGGGAAGGAGACCAGTCGGGTCGAGTCCCCGGTGGATGACAAAGCAGATAACCTGGATGATGAAGAGACATTTACTAAAGGTAAGGCAAGGAAGACAACTCTCTTTTCTCTCAAATCATTACTTTGACAAGGCACACTGTTAATGTATGCAATCTATCAGTCTGAGATAATTGATGGGTCTTCTTCTTGGACATATAGGATGAGAGAAGGCAAGGAAGACAACTCTCTTTTCTCTCAAATCATTTCTGTGACAAGGCAAATTGTTATTGTATGCAAGTGTGTTATAATTCCTTTCAATCAGAGAGATAATTGATGGGTCTCTTTTGTTGTGGACATTTCAGGTAGATTGTAATACTGATATTATGTAACTTGATTTTACAGCTTTACATAGGGCTGGCAAACACATGGAGAACAGTGTTATAGCAGCCTATGTGGCCTTACTCCTGGGCTGTCTAATACAGGATAATTCTGTAAGTAGTCTTTGAACCTCCACCCACCTTTTTGATAGTTTTAATTTAAATCTGTATCGATATCATTTCTTAAATTTTGTTAACATATAGGGGCACTTTATGTCCAATTTAATATAAGTTAAAGAGAATTTTATGTCTTTTCAGATGTATGTCAGCCAAGTAAAGAATCACTTAGAGTCTGGAAGTTTTGAAGATCTTATTACTATTCTGAAGAAATTCTTGGGTTTTATGAATTTAACGGTGAGATTGTATTTCCAGTTTTGCTAATGTTCGTGTATTTAAAACCAAGGGTATTTCAATGCCAAACAATATTTAAAGTCTATGCCAAAAAAAAAATTCTAGAAAGGTAATAAATGTATATTAGGGTAAAAATGACTATTTTATATCATTAAACAAAGTTTTTTCACCTTTAAGAATACTGTGTTTGTCTCGAATACATTTTGGATGAATCTGTAATCTCTCAACTTTTGTATGGATTAAAAAGAAATATTTCTTCACACTTATCAATCTTGTAGTATGCACTAGCCTTGAGAATTATATTTGTTTTGGTCTTTTACAGCGTGCAATTGGAAGTACAGGAGGAAAGTCAATAGCTCATGTCATTGAAGTTCTAGAGGGATGCTAGCAGGAAAACAAAGCACACTGAGAAAAAAAAAATCAAAATTCAGATCGGATTAAAACTACTGCAAATACATGATTATTATTGTACTTTGAAAATTTGTCAACGAGACATCACAATTTACACCATCAACTTGTTGAACAGAAAATAAATTTGCTGCAATGAAAACCAATCACCATGCATGAAAAAAAAAATCTTTAGGGATGACAGCATAATTTTGATGTGAAATATCCCTAATATGGCAATTACAGGATAGTGTGTTGAAAAATACCTTTCATCAAATGATGCATGAACATGACATTATTGACAATGTTTACATGGTGACTTCCCCTGAGCCCAGCTAAGCTGAGTAATCATCAAAGGCTGGACTCTTATTTTTATATTAATTTTTTAGCATATTTTCTAAAAGAAAAAACAGGAGCAATAGATGTTTATGTTGGACATTTTCATTTTCCATACTATTTTGTCTGTAGCATTTAGTTAAAACATGTCTGAATGAAATATTAGGATGCTGCACTGATGAAATCATAGTGTTGATTAACCTAATGCAATGTTAGTGAGAGATGAGAGGATCATTTAACAGATTAATTTTATCTGTGTTGACCATTGTAGTGAGGGATTGTGGATTTTATGACATTTTTACCATGTATAAAAGGGCAGAACTGAATTGCAGAAATGAATTTTCATCTGTATATTGTTAAATAAATACAAATTGATGCATACTTGAGTTTATGGTTGTGTTGTATAAAGTACTATATAGCAATCCTTGCAAAGCATTGACAACAGATATGTTTTTTTTATTAGAAAATGAAATGGCAAAGTGTCTTGGGATGAAGAAGGGACAAAAGAGCAAGGACCACTTAGGGCATTTTTTGGCCCTGTGAATTTCGATAATGTTTAGTTTTGGTTTAAAATGCCTTGTTTATCAGTTGGATCCTTGATATATATCTATTAAACAGGACTTAATTTTTTTCTGTAGCCATTGCATTATGACGTCATGAAATGCGTCATTTTTACCATATCCTACAACTTTCTTTAAGAAGTATTTTTTGAAATATTTCATAAAGAGCACAACCTCTGATCCAAAATATGAAATTGCCTAATGAAGACGTGCTTCTGAACATGATGAAACATGCTTTAATTTTTGGACCGAGGGCTGTGCTTATATTTTGATTCTTTGCTGAAGGTAGTCAAATACACCTGTTTTCTGCAAAATTCAAGAACATTGCTTTATTACAAAGCCTGTTGTCCAAAAAAAAAAAAATGTATTCTAAAAAAGAAATTTGGCGTAGGAAATGAAAGCACCAAGTCTCTAATTTATTTATATACGAGTATATGAAATAGGAGAGATGGTGATAGTCAATAATAATATGTCATATAAGAACAGGGCCATTTTATGCATGAAGTGAACCTAGCCCTTTGTGCAGAATACTGCAGCATGATGGCAACCATAGAAGTAACAAGTAAAATTGATTCAAAGTATCAAATCGACCGCAAACAAATTTAGCATTTTAAAAAGTACTTCCACAATTCAAAAAGCATCTATGCTAGGAAAGCACAAGATATTCAGAGCTGAAATAGTGATCATTTTTATTTTAGACTGTCTTCAAAGCAAAATGAATAATTAACAAAAAAAAATTTGAATACTAGTAAATAGAAATTTTAGTGCATAAATTTGCTCATCAAATGGAATTTTGAATTTTCAAAATGTTGGCTAAGTGGAAATAAAACATCGATGTAATAAATTCAAAGATAGATGGTAAGAAAATGAAGATGTAGGCCTCTCAAGATGAACCACGTGCTAATACCCTGGATCTTTGTCACATGATAATGTCACTGGACTATGCTACAAGGCGCGGCAATCGCTCACCAAAGGCATTTTATGCTCCGCTCAAAAACTGTAAGCGGAGCGCGCCCTCTGGTGAGAGATTGCAAGGCGCGGTGCAAAATGTAGAAAACATTATTCTTGTGTCATTCGCAGCTGTAGCATATTCAAAAAAATTTTTACTAGTTGAACAATTTTTCAATTTTTATTAACCATGCACTTTTACAATGTCATTTTTATCCGGAAAATCATAACTATTTGCTTTCATTTCTTACACACTCCCAGGTCGGGGAGTACCTATTGTAAACTCTTTTTGTACAACCACAAATTGTCAATTATCTGAAGAGAAATGATAATGAAGTTGAAACATGATAACAACAATAATAATACTTAGTTTAAAGCAAGTTTTTGAAATATTTTATCTCATGATTTTATACATGTTATCATTTAAAATTAATTGTACTGAACTAAAACAAAAATAACGTTTCATTTCGAACACAGCCACAAATAGATCGGCCGCAGCATATACTACGGAATAAAAATAGGAAAGAAAATAATACATTTATTGAATTTAGAGCACTTTTGAATTTTTCATGCGTCGTTTCCATCAACGTAACTGAAATATTAAGGTTTTGAGTTCATTTTATTCTTAAATATTTATATTCTTATAAATACTCATTTAAATATGAACTGTAAATCTTCTTGAATACGAAAGAGTGGAAAGCATACAGTTCGTACTCTTTTGAACTTGTTTTTTTAATATACTAAAGACTGCCGGGTATATTTAGAATGCTGTTTGTTGATGACTGTGTCATTTTTCATTGAGAACATGATTCTATATACCGTGTGCTTGTAGCTCATTTTGATTAGACATTGATATTATAAATAAGATCAATCGTGGATGACATTTCCTCACACACACACACACACACACACACACACACACACACACACAATCAATCTTTCCAAGGATTCAAGAAAAATATTTTATTTAAACATCAATAGAAAAAGGCGATCTCTTTCTTCAATCCCGAATCACTGTAACATATCCAGCAGCTGAAACATAACACTGAGTTTATAATTTGTCTGGCGATGTAGCGATTGTCTCCTCAACTTTTCCTTCCTCCTCCTCTCTATTTCTTTCCTTCGTTCTCTGGCTCTCTCTTGCTTTTCCGTAATTGCACGTTCCCAATTACCTGAAAAAAAAGATCATACATGTTATAACTTCAAAATACTTATTGGTTTTACTCTCCCTCTTTTGAAAATACCATTACTTCAATAACACGCATTCATTCATTATCTATACATAATTTAATTAATTGTAGATTAGTAAAAGGTTTCCTATAATCTTAAACCCTTAATGTGGTGGAAAATCGTATGTTTTAGATACTTTCACGTTGTTCTTACGTTTTAAAGAAACTTCATCATCATCCTCATTTCTCTGGAGTCTTTTGTTCCTATACGATACTTTAGGCCACATTGGCTCTCCTCCACCAGCTACTGGAATATCAAAGGCAACGCCTCCCCCGCTCACTTTGGCTTTGATTCCATTCTTCTTCAGCATCTTTCGCAGCCTCTTTTGCTGTTTTTTGGTGCGAAAAGGAGTTGGAAAAGGCGCAACTTTACTATTGAAACATCCCATTGTGTTTACTCTGACCTTGTTGCTATATCACACTAAGTTTATTATGACGTCATCTTAATTGTTACGTCATATATACTGTTACGTTATGTGTAAAATCAAATAACAAGTAAAATATTCATGCAAAGCATCTAATCGGCCGCAAACAAAATTTTGCATTTTAAAAAGTACTTTCACAATAATGAATTTAAAAAGCATCTATACCAGGAAAGCTGAAATAGTGATCGTTTTTATTCCAGACTGCCTTCAAAGCAAAATAAATAATTAAAAAAAATAATTTGATTCAAGTTTGTTCAAATAAAGGGCCACGCTCTCATTCAAGGGGAGATAATTGGGAATTAATGAAAATTTGGTGGCATATTTTAAAAATCTTCTTCTCCAGAACCACTGTGCCAGGAAAGATGAAACTTATGGGGAAACATCCTCAGGTAGTGTAGATTCAAGTTTGTTCAAATCATGACCCCCGGGGGTAGGGCGGGGCCAAAATGGCCGACCAAAGTTTTACATAGAAATATATAGGAAAATTCTTTAAAAATCTTCTTCTCAAGAATGACAAAGCCATAATTCATCATATTTATATGGAAGCATGCTCAGGTAGTGTAGATTCAAGTTTGTTCAAATCATGACCCCCCGGGGTAGGGCGGGGCCAAAATGGCCGACCAAAGTTTTACATAGAAATATATAGGAAAATTCTTTTAAAATCGTCTTCTCCAGAATGACAAAGCCATAATTCATCATATTTATATGGAAGCATGTTTAGGTAGTGTAGATTCAAGTTTGTTCAAATCATGACCCCCGGGGGTAGGGCGGGGCCAAAATGGCCGAACAAAGTTTTAGATAGAAATATATAGGAAAATTCTTTAAACATCTTCTTCTCCAGAATGACAAAGACATAATTCATCATATTTATATGGAAGCATGCTCAAGTAGTGTAGATTCAAATTTGTTCAAATCATGACCCCCAGGGGTAGGGCGGGCCAAAATGGCCGACCAAAGTTTTTAAAGATATATATAGGAAAATTCTTTAATAATCATTTTCTAAAAAATAGCAAATCCATGATTGGTCATGGGACTACTTTTGGATTTAAACTTTACAATAAAAAGCCATTTTCTACTTTTTCCTACCCTTAGTGCTCAGGTGAGCGATGTGGCCCATGGGCCTCTTGTTATACATGTTATCATTTAAGGTGATTCCACAGTCAGGTTTTGCATTTATTTTCATTTGATATTAAATCCAATTATTGCAAAAAATGTATAGGTCACCATATTATTTAAGACGAAACATAAATAAACAGAATGTCAACATCAAAAAATCGCACATTTTTTGTAAACAGTATTATGAAAAATATGTAAAAACTGGTTAAAATCCATAATTCTGAAGCTGAGTGTTCCTAAATACTCCCTACTTAAAAGATACTTTTGAATTGTGAATATCAGGGAAACTATTTTACATTAGAAGTACAATAAAGCAGAAGAGACCTTAGAAGGAGTTACTGCCCTTGTAAACATGTTTTATAAATTGAATAATTGATTAAATATAGAAAATATGCATTTTTTAAATTCTTTAACTTAACAATATTTATCATTACACCTATTGTAAAGCATTCTTCCAAGAGACATTGTTCTATTAGGTATGAATTTAAACTAATTACAGTTTTTGCAAAAACCTATGACATCACAGGAGGATGGAATTACTTTAAAATTAAATTTACTCAACTAATACAAAAATAATGTCTCATTTCCCCATGTGTACTTTCTAACGCAACCACAAATAGATCGGCCGCTGCTGCGGGGATAATCAAAGCGGAAGCTGATGTAACAAAATACAATTTTTAAAGGTTCATCATCCCTCTGTCCCTTCATTAAAAGTTTGGGGGATTTCAAGGGCACCACAAGGCCGAGTATCCTCTTACAAAGAGCAACTTTGAAATCAAGCATCATTCCACATTGACCCTGATGCAAATTACGTCACTTCCGTTTTGCACGGGACCGTAACACAACCTCAGACAAACAAATGCACACTCGATTGTTATAGATAATTTCTTAAATTGCAAAAAACTTTAATGTAACATATTAATACAAATAATACAACAAAATTGTAATATAATTAGCATGAATGCGTGAAGGAGTGGTACACTATTCACTGTGTACATGAAAACAGGCTGGTGTAGGTCTTCTCTATCCAGAGTTGTCGTTCCTGGTACGCTCCACGTACACCTCTGTCAACTCTTGGTATATAATGGTCTTCGTCTTCGAAAATTGTAAATTGTAATTGAAAAATTAAACTGAGGAATTTTAATCATTCTATGAATCAGTAAAAAGATAATATAGATTTTGTTATTTATCGCCCGCTTAAGGAAGGCCCACACTTTTACGGATCCGGTTCTAATTTTACACATCAATATAAAATTCTGATTTTCACTTTTCTATTGATAAAAATCTTTTGGGTGATTGAAAATGATTTAGCAAGTATATATTTGTTTTTTATAGTGTTATTGTGCATATGAAGCATTTAATATACATTATTTCTGGAAATTAACACTTTGCACTCTGTCCATAAGTTCTACATGTCATTTAGTACAGACACAGACACAAAATTCTTAATTGCTTTTATGGACCTAAATTTTTTAAATTTTCTTTCAAACAAACTAACATTAGATCTATTTTTATTGATTTAGAGCCTATATCATCCATTTAATTTTTACTTTTTAAAAATTTTGCATTGAATAATTGAAATTATTAATATTCCCAAAATGGGGGTATATGTCTTCAAAAGACTGTTTTGTTAAAATTCTCTGGTCAACCATCATAAAGTAGCTGTTTTTGTTAACATTAGATATAATTCTTAATAGTTTTTAAGAAAAAATGGCATATAAACATTTTTGATTTTGAGATTATAAAAAAATTAAGATATTTTGAGATTTTTTTCTGAAAGACGTGGACAGATTCAACACCAATTTGTTAATGTTTTGCAGTAAAGATTTCAAATATTCTCTTGGCAAATGAATATTTTTGATCTTCATAAGTTTTAAAATAAATTTCATGTGATTTGGTGCATAGCTAAAAGAAATATGATATCACACTTTTTATGTTCAATTTTGGCTGTTGAGTTTTTAGAGGTATGTGCGCTGAGACATGTTGTATGAAAATTAACCTGCAAAGATATGTCTTTTATGAGTGTTTTAGTAAGTTTAAGACTTCTTCAAGGTTTTCAAATTGAAAAATTATCAGTTTGACAGAAAATTCTGAAAGTACAGACCTACCTTAAAGGATTTCTTCTACGTTTTTAATTTCCATACCCCTTTTATCAATCATGAAAATAAATCGTTGTAATAGATGATCTTAAAAAAAAAAACGAAAAAAAACATATTTATTGATAGTAACATTAATTTATCATGATTCGAATTCTACATTCAATACGCATACGAAATATGAAGTCTCTATCTTTCATGGTTCAAAAGTTATGGCAAAGGTTAAAGTTTGCAGAAAAAAATATTTTTAGCATATAGTCCACAGTCAAGGTCACAAGGTCATTGACCTTGGTGTCAATTGAAAGAGCTAAATTAGTGGAGTGTGCATACAAAATATGAAGTCTTTATCTTTCATGGTTCAAAAGTTATGGTGAAGGTTAAATTTTGCAGAAAAAACTATTTTTAGAATATAGGCCATAGTCAAGGTCACAAGGTCATTGACCATGATGTCATTTGAATGAGCTTAATTAGTGGAGTATGCATACAAAATATGAAGTCTCTATCTTTCATGGTTCAAAAGTTATGGCGAAGGCTAAAGTTTGCAAACAAACAAACAAACAGACAGACAGACAGGGCAAAAACAATATAAGCCCCGGATCTGTGGATCCGGGCGCATAATAAAAAATTATGGCAAAGGTTTAAGTTTTTTTTCAAAAGTGGATCAAATTTTAAGTTTAGGGTCAAAAGATCAAAAAAGATTTAAAAGAGAATATTTATGTCCAAGGAAAAGTCTTGTCACAATAAATACCATGTTTTAGCACCAAATGCTCAAAAGTTATGGCCAAGGTTAAAGTGGGTCAAACTTCAAGGTCAAGTGGCGAAATATGAAAGATCTTGTCACAAGGGAAATACATGTACAAGTGAAATATAAAAGCCATAGATTCAACCAATTAAAAGTTATATGCAAGTTTATAGCTTTGGTGAGCAAACAGTCAGATGGACGGGCAGGGCAAAAACTATATACTCCTTCAGCTTTGATTACCGAGACATAAAACCACGGGCACTAGTTTCGTATACGGAGTACCCCCTACTTATATTTACAACGTGGTAAATATAAGTAGGGGGTACCCCGTATACGAAACAAGTGCCTGTGCGTAAAACGTTTTCACTTTGTCTATCCTGAGTTCGTTTTCCGCTTAAGCTTGCAACACGTAAGATTCTTGTACATACTACACTAATAAAGTTCTTTCAAATGACACCAACCTTGTGACCTTGACTGCGACCTTTATGCTAAAAATAGCTTTTTTCGAACTTCGTTGCTGCCTGGGCTTATAGTGTTTCAAAAACACATCTTCTTGAATATTTCTTTTAAATTATTTATCTTTTTATCCCTCGAAATAAAAGATTCGGGGGTACATGGATATATATAGTTTTTGCTCTGTCCGTCCGTCTGCGATTTGACGGAACTCTGACTTTCTTACTTCACATATGAATTCCTTGTGACAAGATCATTTTTTGGTTACCAACAAACTTGACCTTACAAACCTGATCTTCATCTAGGAGTTTGAGTTATTTTTCTAAAAATTTACTAAACTCTAACCTTGGCCATAAATTTTGAATTGTTGGTGCTAGGGTTTTCATAGTTCACACGTTTATTCATCGTGTCAAGACATTTTCATGGATATAAATACTTTTGACCTTGGCCTTAGAATTTGATCCACTTAAAAAAATATAACCTTTCGAACAGTTAAAAATAAGGCTTTCATGTTTCACAGGTACATTCATTTTGACAAAAAAATCTCCTTTGATACATGTACCAATAATTTTGAGTTTTGACCTTGACCTTGGAGATTGACCTACTTTCAAAAAACTTTAAT